GCAGGGGTGTAGCAGGTCTCCATGGGGGCGTGGTATATCTTCGCAGGGGTGTAGCAGGTCTCCATGGGGGCGTGGTATATCTTCACAGGGGCGTGGCTGAATGACATTGCTTCACATTAGCACCAACCACTGGAGTTGAAGAAGCCCATGAGAAGCTAATCTGGATGATAATAAAGTGGTGGCACATGTGGCCGGTAAAGATGCAGCTCTTTCATCAGTTTGGTTCACATGACCAGCCTGTCTCGGAAAGGTGCCCATCAGCAGTAATGGCCTCCTTCTGTTATTCATGAGTGTATCTGGCTTAACCCCACAAAGGCACCCTGATGTGTTGCGGGATTAAACACATTACAGTTCTTTACATTTTTTTTCATTTATATTTATGACTACTGACTTTCTACCAAACAGTAACTTTTTACTCTAGACGTCTGTTTACCAATCCAGTCCTCGGGGGCACACAGCCAGACCACGTTTTTGCTCCCTCTGAGCTCCCTGCTAGACAGTCCACGCTATCAGGAGCCAGGTGGGAGGAAAAATGTGGACTGTCTTTGGGTCCCCAAGGACCCGATTGGGAAACAATGCTCAAGAGAGATATTGTGCTTTGAGCAGCTTCCTTCTGGCACTCTGGACACTTTACAGAGAGAAAGCTGGTCCTTATAAATCTTTCCCAATATCTCAGAGCCCAGGGAAACTTTTGAAATGTCAACACTGCACCACTGCATTGTGTGACTCAAAACCAAATTATTTTCACATGAGATTTCACCTCAAGTGACCAGTCTGTTAAAGTTCAGCTATTCGACAGGTCACACATCTTGGGGCGCACATTCATCATTAGTGCCTCCGTTTGCACGCTTAGATTAGCTCATTTTCAGAGTATCCCTGTGGGTGGCAGTAGAGAGCATGTAGCCAGCTGTAAACACTGAGCTATAACACGTATGTGCTGCTCAGCCAGGGGAAATAGTGACCGATGCTGCAGCAATGGTCAGCTGCATCCCATCACAGTGGTATGAGCCTGGGGCCTCCGCCGGTGCACTCAGCATGACCCCAAACAGTCCTGCACTGGAAACGAATGTAGACGAAGAGCCCAGGTCTCGGCTGCCAGAAGCTCCCACGTAGAAGCCTGTCTGAGGCCTCCAACCTGCTGAAGCTGGGCTCAGTGCAGATATGGGAGCCTGTTATCTTACCCTTAAAGTTAATAGTCGTGTGATTTAGAGAGCAGAACTCCAGGATTTTCACGCTTTACATGAGCAATCCAGCTGGAATCTCAGCCCCAAAAAACAGATGATTTTAAGCTTGGGACTGAACCTCTTGTTACTTACCAACACACTAGCTGTTGTTCCTCTTGCCTATAGACATTTCAGTTGCTGTTCCTCCTACGTACTGAAAAACTGCTTTCTCCCATTCCATGGATGACCGTTGCCCCAAAATCCCTCAGATGTCCAATTACATAAATTGTGGGACACATGGTGAAGGTCCTGTCAGAGCTTAACCCTAACCCCAACATGAATTCTGGGAAACATGGTGAGGGACCTTCCAAAGTGTAACCCTAACTCCCACATGAATTCTGGGAAATGCAGTGAAGGACCTTCCAGAGTCTAATCCTAACCCCTACATGAATTCTGGGAAATGCAGTGAAGGAGTTTCCTAAGTCTAACCATAACCGCTACATGAATTCTGGGAAATGCGTTGAAGGCCCTTCCAGAGCCTTACCCTAACACCCCCATGAATTTTTGAATATGCAGTGAAGACC